GCCTGTTCCCGCCAAGGGCTCCGAGCAGCGGGCGAGGGACGGGGCAGCCGGGCCAGGAGAGCGGCACAAGGGCGAGCGGGAAGCCAGCGGCGCCGCGCCCGTTCCCGCAGGGCGGCGCGGCCGGCGCACGGGGGGCTCGGGCCCGGCTCCGCCCGGGCAGGACCCGCCGTCCTCCCGCCGCGGCCGCGCTTCCCGCCCGCGCCCGCCCCGGGGAAGGTGCCGAGCACGGCGGAGCCGGATCGGGGCTCGCACTCACCCACTTTGTAGGGCAGCCGGTCCGACATGGTGCAGCCGCCTGGCCGTGGGCTGGAGGAGGCGGCCGCCGCGCTGGGCGCGCTTTAAGTAGAGGCGGCGCCGCTTGCGTGAGGCGGGGCCGGGCTGCGCTCGGCGCGGGGCCCGGCCGGCGCTTCCTCCGGGCCGTCCGCGGGCCCGCCTCCTCTGCGAGCAGCGCGGCGGAGGCCGCGGGGCTGGGCTGGGCTGTCCCCGGAGCCTGCCCGGCCGCGGCACCTGCGCCCCGGCGCGCTCTCTGCCGCAGCGGCAGCCCCGTGCCCGAGCAGGCTGGCGGCCGCTGCATCCACCGCTACCGCTGCCAGCACAGGAGCCGGTGTTTAAATATGTGCAGCGATGGCTCGGAGCGTGGAGCAGCTTCCGCTCCCTGGGACCCGGAGATCAGAGGCAATGAGCAGAACCTGAAGGAAGTTACACCCGAACATGAGGAAGAACTTCTTTATTTTGCAAGTGACCACTCAATGGAACATATTGCTAAGAGGTTATGGAGTCTCCTTCACTGGAGATACTCACTTCCAGATCCATGCTGTGGGATGGCTCTGTTTGACCCAGGATGTGGGACCAGAAGCCCCATTGTGGTCTCTTCCAACCTCACCCATTCTGGAATTCTGTAACCCAGAGCCACATGAAGCCACAGCAGGTCCCAGGACAGTGCCAGGAACAGCCCTGATTCCTGATGCCAGGCCTCGCCACATGGACACTGAGCAGACAGCACTCCCTGTCTCACTTCCCAAGGGGATCCCAGGAGATGATCAGTGTGAAGTGTTACCTGGTGCACACAGACCCCTCACTGCAGCAGGACCCAGGCAATGGGCAGGATCCAACTGGTGAGATGCCAGGCAGAGCTGGGGCCAAGATGTGAGCAGCTCTATCACCCTGGACCTTGGACTTGGCTGCAGGCAGTTCCCCTCCCCAGCCTGCAGCCCTTTGCCAGGTTCTGGGCAGGGCTGCCTGCCCCCCAGGCACAGCCAATGCCTGCTGCACATGCAAGAGGCACAGCCCCGCTTTGGCCTTGCCTGCAGGTCACATACACGTCTGCTTCTGTTCTAACATCTAAAATATGTTTTTCATAAGCCTCAGTCATGAACTGGGATGAACTTTTCAGTCACACTGTTATACATGTCTCCTTTAACCCATGAAATACATAAGAGTGAGGATTTCCTTATAATTACACAGAAATTCTAATTGAATTATTTTGAAAAGTTTGAAATAATTCTCAGTGCAGAGTTTATCCTGAGACCTCAGTTCCCAGCTGAGCCTGGGAAAGTAATTATGATGGTAATTATTTTTTCAGGTGAGCAGCAACTGATCTTCAGTGACTGTCCTACAGTGAACAGACCACAGAAAGACAGAAATCCCAGTAGAACGCCTGGACAGACAATCAGTACACATGAAAATGGCAGGATTTCTGTCTAATACTCAGAGTGCTGCAGGTGCACTGGCACACCTGACACCATACAAGAAGTTCTGTAAATCAAAAGGTTGATTTACAGAAATGTAAGGCTGAAGCACAGGCTTCATTCCTTTTATTTTATCCCTCAGCATCCAAGCACACTTAGTTCCCCTCCAGGGATAACACAGAATTCCCTGCTGGTGCCCATGATGCTGCAGCCCCTCCTGGGCTCATCCCTCCCCAGCTCTGGCATCCTGAGCATGGGAAGCACCTGGAGCTGTTGGAGGGAGTGCAGAGGAGGACATCCTCCAGAGATGATGCAGGGGCTGGAGCCCCTCTGCTCTGAGGAAAGTCAGGGAGAGCTGGGGTTGCTCAGCCAGGAGGAGAGGAGGCCCTGGGGAGCCTCACTGCAGCCAAGCAGGACTTGGGGGGCCCTGGGGACAGAGTGTTCAGCAGGGCCTGTAGCCAGAGGAGAAGGGGGCATGGATGGAAACTGGAGGAGCTCAATTTAGCTTTGAAATGAGGAAGATGTTTTTCTCCCATGAGGGTGGTGAGGCCTTGGAACAGGCTATGCAGAGAGACTGTGAAGCCCCATCCATGGGAACATTCAAGGCCATGTTGGAAGGGGCCCTAAGCAACCTGGATTGGTGGGAGGTTGATGAGGTTGGAACAAGATGGTCTTTAGAGACCCATCCAAGCCAAACCATTCAGGGATTCAATCATTTTACAAGAAAAAGCACCCAATCTGGAGGGCCCCTGGAACTCCTATAACTTCACAGCTCCCAGATTCATTGTATCACAGACAGCGTTCCAGGAGGAACTTCCAGAATCTCTTGATAAGCACAATGCAGCCATTGCCCTTGTACCCAGCAGAGCCTTCAGTCTGCTTGGAGACCACCCTTCACTCTGCTTGCGTCAGACTCTTCTCAGCTGCTCCTTGCTATTTACATCAGTCCTGAACTTTTCATGCTGCCTGGATCTCAGAACTAATCCCATCAAGATGTGCACTCCTCTCCTGGTGAAAGTACAGTGCCATTCCAGGGA